CCCCGCCCGCCCTTCGTGTCCAGCGGCCGCCCCGTCGTCACCGTGCTCGACTTCCCCAGCACCATCGCCTCCCCGCCCGTGCTCGTCGTAAGTGCTCCCCGCCCGCGCCACGCGCACTTCGCCTTCATGACCAATCACTCGTCAAAAACATAAATAACAACTATTCATTTCCCGGTTGTCATAAAACACTTAATAGCACGTAATTAACTATTCATTACGTTTAGTTCAAATTAAATGTAGAATACTTCCTAAATACATTACGAGCAATAATTGTTAAATACACAACACACAAGGAAACTACGAAGGTAAGGTATTTTTCAAAACCGTATGTTACGTACAGTGTAAATTAAATAGCTACTTTTGCCAATGGCAAGAAGATTACATGTGCCATGTGATACATTATATGAGCGAAATTAGGATAAAATACATCTGCTGACGTTTTGCGTGGGTGTATGAGTTAACCGAGTAGGCTAAGAACACATTTAATGAGGTGTAATACTAAAAAAATATTTTAAGAGCCACGCAAAAACTGTATTCTTCATTGAGAGAGATCGATGTCTATTTGAAATGAATCTAATTTGTAACGTTAGTTGAAATTTGATATTCTTCGTTAGCATATGTTCGTCATGTATTCAAAATAACTCTGAGATTAGCTAAATGCAAAGTGACCCTTCGCTTATAAGATATACTTTTTTTTAAATTAGACAAAATTACGAAAGTAAAATACTTTCAACTCAACGTGTTCAGCCAGCTATTAAAACTAGCCCTCTTTCGGAATATAGGAAGTCGCGTATATTTTAATGCGGCATTTACAGTTACTTTTAACTCTCACGATAGAGATACCTCTAGATCTCTTTATGGCTACACATAAATCGCTCGTATCTAGTCAAAGGTTTCTATACACTTTGATTAAGAAACTGAATGGAAACACAATATTACAAAACGATGTGATAAAACTTCTGATGTTCCCATATCCGACGCTATTAAAGCTTTTAGCCCTCACCTTACTTCGACTATCTAACGCATTAACACATGTGACCCGTGTAAAGTCGTTTGAGTCTCAGGCAGAGAACTTTCCTAAGTTACGTTCGGACAGTAGATAGGACCGGAAGCGTAAAACATTCAGAAACATTTCTGAAAGGACATTTTATTCGAATAGAGTTGTAGAATTGCCCGAATGATTCACAATTAAATATATGTGTTATAGTGTAGAAGATCGATACAGATAAGTCAAATATCGAATAAAACAATTTGGCTACTAGTACGGGCTTTACCATATAAATGGTAAAGCGGCTGTCACTAGAAAGAAATTTTAATGAAGGAAAAACTGTTGTACTCTATTTATTAGATGTCAATGACTACTCAATCGCAATTATCATTAGAAAACGCTTGAATTGTATTCTGACGTTATAAGCTAACTGTCAGTCTCATCCAAACGTAATTCTTTTCATGAGGCTATTGTATGAGATTAATAATTCAGCAGATAATACAGGATTCACAATCAATAAATTAACAATTATAATAAAAAATCAAAAAATGGAATTCTTAGAAGCTGGAACAGGTCATAGACCTATCCTTGAAGTGAAGAAGAAGAAAAAAACACTTTTATGTATAAGCATAACACAACACTATGAAATCCAATTGTATGCATTTCTGTTCTGAAAATAATACTTTCTATGATGACTTTAGACAGTGCGGCTGGAATTAATTCTGACCACTACAATCCCGCCTTGTTTTCATCATTGTTAAGAATTTAGTTCCTCCCCAAAGAGAACTTGCAATCATTTTATACACAAGTAAAAGGGACACTTTTTAATAGCAGGATCAATGAACATATCGCTTCAAAAGAAATATTTTCTCTAGAGACTGAAACATTAATGGCGGGGCACTTGTCTTATCCACGACCTCACAGTCTGTTAAATCTTCTAAACTATGAGTAGGGCCGTCAATATTTTATTACATTTTTTCTCTCGTTTATTATTTTTCTTCAAGTGCACTTTTTACCATACATTAAATCGAGACAAGTATCTCGCAAACCCTGCAGTATTCCCTACTGACCACCAAGTAGCTCAGTAAAAGGGACTACAAAGGACCAACATGGGCACTTGTCTCTTAGAGCTCCCTCGGTTTACTATGATCGCCTTGTGCGTTCCTTTAAATTCATACCGAGGATTCCCATATCACACTGTATTTACGCCAAGGTAACTTTCATCTCAGCACTGCTTCCACTGTCGGGAACGTCAATAATAAATGGTACTTGGGACTATTACGGAAACTGAATGTAGACACAGTCAGGGAGTTAGCTGAGGAATTGTGGATGAGAGACGTAACCTGTCGTTGGTTGATCAATCATTTCTGAAAATTCTATTGTTTTCAGCGATATACTTGTTGATTATGTGAAGTGACTATTGCGAAAGTATAAAATTTACTCTGTCACGGAAATATGAAACCCTCCCATGCTACAAACACATGCTCAAACATGCTCTAGGAGAGGCTCGGCCTCCGTACATCGACGAACACGAAGAGCGACCATTTGCTATGAGTACCCCTAACGTCTGTCCCCCGCCCCCAGGTGCAGCGCCCGGTGTTCGGCGAGGAGGACGAGCTGAGCAGCCCGCCGCAGGCCGTGGTGCCAGCGGGCATCGTGCAGTCGACGCAGCCGCGCCCCATCCAGAGCGTCTTCTCCAACAGCAAAGACAACGAGTTCCTGCAGCAGATGCGCGACCAGGCGGCGCTCAACGCGGCGGCGGGAGGCAGCGGCGGTGGCGGCGCTGGCAGCAGCGGGAACGGCGTCGACGTGCAGCTCGCGGACTACGACAAGATCGTCGAGGTGCTCTACAACTGAGCGCGGCGCGCGTAGCCCCGCCGCAGCCGCCACCGCCGCCGCCGCCGCCAAGGGGAACCGCGCCCGAGTGACAGCGAGCCCTACGACGCGACGCCTTCTCAACGCAGTGGCTTGCGCACCAACGTCTTATGTCGACAGCACCGGGAGTCGAGGATTTTTTTTTCTTTCTTTCGAAAACGGCTTTGGCGACGGGGGAAAATAGTATGTCGCAGAAACGTGCTGGGATATTTAATTATCAAATAAGGATCTCTATTCTGTTATTTTTGCAATGGAGAGAGCTTACAGACCGAATCAGTTGTAGATTTGGTTTGCATAAAGGATAAATTATGTTTATTAGTTTTTTGTTAACGACCACACACATCGTTTATTAAACATCATTTGCTTGAGACATTACATGTAGTGTAACGTTTCTCTACAATGACAGCTGATTTGTAAATATTATCGTGATCCTGTCAGCAAAATCGTGTGCGCAGTTCATTACGTAATTTGTCATTTTAAAAGGTGTATTAATGGCTTAACTACTATCTAAAACTGTACATCAAAGAACGTGATTGGAATTCATGTATTTGTACATGCTATAAAAATTTGATTCGGTCGATTCAAGATTATTTTCACGTCAAACATGGTATAAAAATGTTTGGGTTTCAGCCGAGGCACGTTGCTGGAGGATCATTCTCCTTTTCATCGTCGTCATAACAGCCATAAGATCAGCGATCTCACGACTCCCCGTGCTGATGCCATAATTCCGCCGCAAGGACTCGCGGTTTGAAAGGCGTCGCTTCAACATCTTTTGTGGTCCCATTCACTTCACTCCGGTCCTTTGGAATCGGACACGACAAATATTTTAAGATAACGTCGTGCCTTGCATTTGCCTATTCATCGACCGTTAGATGCGCCTGCTCGAAATAACGTTTTAAGAAACCTCTCGGAAACCGCCTTTTAGGGAGATTCTGTCTTTTCCGTTTCAGAGAAAAAGAAATTCTTCAACACTATTGGAATTATTTTTCGGAATTATTTTAATTCAAGGAGTTCTGTAATATTTGACAGAATATAAAAATATATGTACAATACGTTTACATGAGAAGACGCCAGAAGAATGTAAACTTTCTCCTTAGGTCATCAAAATGTTGTAGTTGAAAATTAAAAATGCCCACGGAACGGAAGGCAGATTAACTCCTGTATTGGATATTCGATTTTCATGAATGCATGATAAACAAATTAATTTAAGTCTTCTTCAAGGAAATCGATGTTATTTTAACAGTTTCGCTTCGTCTAACGAGTAGTGTACTAGACGCTTTCCGGGGCGCCGCTGGCTCGTCGCGGGGGCTGTCATTCGGCACGGGACGCCCTCAGGGCCCTCTTGCCACTGAGCGTCGGGCTTTCTCACCCTCTCCGGGCCAGGAGCGATGCACTCTTTCCTCCTCTCACTTCCCAGGTTTATTATTATTATTACCTTTCAGATCTCAAAGATCTAAAAATTTTTAATTGATTTTTAAAGAGCTGCATCTTCGAATAGTAGAAATTAGTTTTATCTAAAATGCGTAGATAAGACAAACGTAATATGGTTTTTCGAATGTACATTTTTATTGCAAAAGTTGTTTTAGACATTACTGACCTCTGCTTTCATACATTGCATCTGTTTACAAGCCAGATGTGCTGCGTGAAAATAAATCAAAACTTTGTAAACTTTCAAAAACAATAGAAATCAAATATACAAAATATTATAAATGCATAAGCAAACCATATTTTATACGTTAACTCTCCTTTATTTTTTGTACATAAAGACCTAAAATCCTTGGGAAAGATTTGACGAGTTAACAAGTTTTTGCGAAACCCGTATTGCTCCTGGCTCACGTGCACCAGTGTTACCAATGTGAAAAAAGCCCACGTTCGTCTGCTTTCTACTTTCCTTCGCCTGTCTTCAGATGCGCTGCATATTAAGATTATTTCCATACACAAAATATATATTGTATCTATTGTGGTTTTTTTCTTACGTGAAAGAAAATTCAAATTCAGAGAAAGATTATTTTATTAAAAGAGTTTTATAAAATCGAAACATGGGTGCCAGTGATAATGAAGTTACCACATATACCATTTGTCAGTAACAACATGTAACCATCTTATTATTAACTAACAGTAGATCATAATGTATCGTGGTTATCTTAAATTACTTGTCGTTATTGTGTCATGTGCGAGTGATATACAGCAAAGCTTTAAGTCGTAAATTAAATAAAATTTGATGATTTATTTCGAAAGCGTTAAACCTTCTTCAATATCTGAGAGAAATATTTTGTGATGAATTTAAATATAGATTTTGAAAGAAGCAGAAAAATATTTTAGATAGAAGTGTGTGAGAATCATGTCCAGTCTTTGTAAGAGACAAGTACAGTTTTGTATATGATAACTATTTGAAAAATAAAGGAAAAATTAATAATATTAGAGTTTTATTCACAATAACCACGTAAAAATCATTATTCCCGATTCAAACTCCTTTCATAATAATTGTTTCCTTACAAGTTCATTCAATATCGCCGAGCTGATCCCAACTGGTAATCAAAACTAATTGCGATATCTAGTTGCAGAATAACACGTTTGTACGTTGAAGAAGGTCAATACATACGACCGCATCTCAGACAATTAACTGAAGTCATTCTAACAACAGATAATCAAATTTTTTCTGCCAAGAAAATGTTGTATTTGCAGAGATGACACAAAAAATCAGATGATCAGACGACACATCATATTCTTGACTTTATTTTGTATTTCATGCAGGGCGCAATCTGCGACCAATACAGAGACGACTGCAACCTACAGAAAAAAAGAAAACTCTCCAGAACCCCCAAGACATTGAAGCCGCAACGACGCGGGGAGTCAGTGAAGGCAGAGGCGGCCAGCTCTTCTCGAGCGCTGCGGCGCAGAGTAATAACGAAGGCGCGATAAGGAGCGGGTTCGGAACGTCATCCGCAATTAAGGCTTCAATGAGGGCGGCGGGCGGCGCCGCTGCCAGATCGCTTCGCGGGCGCCCCGGCGCTGCTGACGCCGCTCCCAAGCGCGGCGCGGCGCCCGCCCGCCCGCCCGCCCGCTCGCCAGGGCAGCTCTTTCTAAATCGACTCGCCGATAATGAACTCTTATTTAGCTTCTCAGGATGTGAGATTGACAAAAATGCACACGTCCTGCAGATGGTATTAATATTTATTTCTAGTTTTATTCCGAGTGCGGTATTGTATATAAATTGGTTTGCCCATCGATAGATATATTAACGGTAAAGTAAGAAATTGCATACAGTAACCAAGTAATGAAAACAAAGTTTGAAATCGTTAAGCAGAATAGGAAATAATTATCATTACCCACATTGCAGAGGTATTGTTGACAATAACTAATTTATATTAGGCAAAGTAAGTAAATCTTTCGACCACTACCTCCCCCATCCTTTTCCCGTAATTCGTAGCTATATAATGCAAACTTCAGTTCTGAACTCATTCTCTCGTTACCTTATTACTTCTATAATAAATGGCCTCATCGCTCTGAATTTTATGTCTGATTGTCAAGTCTGATTGTCATGTCTGATTAGTTTTACTAGTCTCACTTGCGTTTCTGATATCGTATAGCGGAACAAAGCGCAGGGATAAAATCCTGTGATAGATCCGTATAGGAAACAATCTAGTTTATGAAATGGGTTTATGGTGCTGAATGCGTAACTCAGTCAGAAATGTACGAGTTTCAAGCGATTCAGTGAAGGATGGCAATCGTGTAATGATGACTCAAGCTGTGGAGGTCCTTTCATTAGCACCACAGACAACGAGTTTTAATTAGTCCTGGATCTTCTTTTCCAAGAGTGACGTCGGACATGTCGGATGATAGTAGAGTTGACCATTAACGAAACACTAATTTTACATAATTTTATAATGATTACACGATTTGTGCCTACCTGCTATGAAGATTGACAGTTTCCAAATCGTAGTAAAACTCTCACATCCTCCCTACTCAAGTGGCCTGCAACCAGCAAACTTTTTTGTTACGCAAACTAGAAGTACCCATGAAAATGGTACGTTTCAAAATTCAAAATGCAGAGACTGACCTCTTAAATTTTTTTAAAGTGACCTCTCTAGGGTATTCCAAAAACTTCTGAAAAGACGCCAGTAGTGTGTTGAAAGAGGAGGGGTCTATATACATTGAAACAATAAAAATAAATTTGCATGTAAAATCGATTTCTTATTAATACATTCCAGTAACTTTGTGACTGAGTGTGGATGCTGGAAAGTATTCTCTAAAATAAGTGAGCGAGTTATGGTTCATTTCGCCATCGCTGCAAATGTCTATGAAAAAACATAGCATTCAAAACTATTTACATACTGCTGCCGTTTTTGTACCATGGTGATGATTGTCGTTAGGTCAAAACTCGCACTAGACACGTCACTACGTGACGTCGTGAATTTCGGGGCTACTTAAATATCGATTTTATTAATATTAATTAGTTATTACTAATAATTATTCGACAAATACAGACGCATGCAGTATTAATGAATATGACTTCTCAAGAACACTTCCTTCGTGTAAAATGATTGTCCCATTTAAGAAAGAAAGTTCATACAATATTTTTACAATAAAAAATCTCCTTTAGTATGTAACCAACCAAAAAGTACTTTAAGGAGTTTCTATGTCCTGTGTCGTTAGGTGAAACCATAGACTAAGGAGGTATATATCTTTACTCTATGGTAAAACTACCATCACAATACCTTGGACCTCTTAGAGAATATTTAGAACGGGAGTTCTCACTGAATGACATTACAGTAAAATAATTCAAATGGGAAGAAATTAAGGTTAAAAATTCAATTAGCATAAATTTTGATCGCTAAATTTTAATACTTCATAGATAAGTAATGATTCTTGATTCCGAAATTTCCTAGGAATAAGAGAAAAGCCTGTTGTTCTTTCTTTATTTAAACAGATTAATAAAATCAATTGAATTTTAGAAAAAATAATCAGGAGAAGGAATAATCTTGCTGAATCAATATTAAAATATTGGAATTTATACGAGTAAATTATAATGAAATCAACTCAAATCATAAAGTTATTGATTACCATTTGTGTGCCATTTGCATTGGATCTCTTGGGCAAAAGATATTATTGGAATGCATTGTGGGCAGTTATCTATTTTGCACTAATTGGAAAATTTATATTAGAAAATACGCTCATTGAACGTCTGCACAGAATCCACGATCCTCCTTGGGCAAGGATTACAAAATGAAGTAACTGCAACAGGGAAACTCGTAGTTCCACATCGTTATGTGTGAAGGTCTCATTCTGGTTTCCAGTTATATGCATAAAATTTCTCCAGACGATGTTTCTTAACCCCTTTTCGTGCAAAAAATGCATTCCTGTTTCTTTTATAGCAAATAAAAATACGAGCAACGTAAGCCAAGACATGAATATCGTTGCACAAGAACATCGAATTGGGCTGAAGCGTATTCCAAACATTGGCTATTAAACCCACATTTATTGACAACAAACTAAGAGCAACAACTTTCGGAACTGCATGAATTTTGCAAGGCATGCTCTCTCCTCTGTGAGCACAAGAACTACATTCCTCGCAAGATGCGGGAACGAAAAACAAGAGGACTTACAGTGCTCCTCACTAGTACCCACCTCGAAAGCGTAGGTACAACTGTTGTAATTACATGGACAGAGACAAACATAAACATATTTCTACGAATTAAGAAAGCAAAATGAATTTCGAGGAAGAAAGGTATGTTGTACACTTTAGTTTTACATGGAAGTTCAGGAAAATAAAAAAAAGTTAATCAAGTAAGACTATATCCACATAAACAATGTAACAATGTGAACAGAAACGAAAGTAATTTGAAGCACGTTAGTTACACACGTATAATTAAATCCTGTGTATAACTTCCGATATAACCCTCAAATAAAATACTTTTTCTACTCATCTATTACAAAAGTTCAACTGAGACACATCAGACAAGAAAACTAATAATAGACATATTAAAAAAAAACTACAACAGCACACTCTTTCTCGTTTTACCTGTGACGGATACGTAATATTCGAGTTATAATATTGAAAATTGTGTCCAAGTAACTCTTGAGCTATCTCGTGAAACTCTTCAGCAAAAGAAGTACGGGAAATTCGAATTTGCTATTTTCTAAAAGTCCACAGAATTTAATGATAATCGCGCATTTTATATCATATTTGCGCACTTATAATATATTTGCGCACTTATAATATATTTGCGCACTTATAATATATTTGCGCACTTATAACATATTCGAGGAAAGCATGTTAAGAAAAAATGTTTCTTTGTATCGTCGGCAATGTAACAGGCCTTATTCACGTTGCCATTCCAGACAATGTCCCCCAAAATAACGAAAACCAATTACATCTTGTAACAACTGTTTGTTCCGTCTGCCGGTGTGGAGGGCGGTGAGGAGGCGTGGTGCGGAGGGCGGAACGAGAAAAGGAGCTGGAGGGGGGCCTTGCGAGGTGAGGCGAAGTAGTGCGGCGCGGAAGCGAAGGCCACAGGCATTGACCTGAGGCGGGGCGGGATGAGGAGGGGTCGAACCCGGATGCCGCCGCCGCCGCCGCCTGCAACACTGCGGCCCTGGCCTGCCTCCGCGGAACGCCCCCAAGCCTCCGCCTCCTCCGTCGCCTCCACCTAGTTTCGCGGACGAGATGCGTCTGTTCCGGCCTCCTCAATGGAGGGCTGGGTTGAAGCAAGATCTCGCTAGAGGTCGCTCGGGCGGCCTCGACCCGGCCTTCGTGCAGCACGACTCACAATGCGCAAGGGCTTTTAACGGACGTGCAGGCATTGCGGGTGTTCAAATTGAATTATCTAAAGTTATTTCACAGAATTTCATTGACAATTCTCTATGGAGGAAGAAGTAGATTTTAAATGGCTACAACTGAATGACTTACTAAACATTTTCATAAATAGTGTATTCGAATTATATTATAAATTCGATGTAGGCTAATTTAACAGTAATCTCATTTAATACAATACTCTCTACTTGTAATATGATATATTTTAAGTACTAATCCTGTGTGTGTGGTAAACTGGACATGTGGAATAACATTTTTCAATTGCTGATCAGATATTTGACTTACATCTAACAGAATTAGAGAATTAAAATATGTGAACGTTACTTTAATTCCATATTTAGATACATCCAAATTATCTGTTTGCTATATTTTACATTCATTGAGGAGTACACTCCAGACCATACAGTATAATGAAATTTTCAGAACTAAAGACATAACAATTCATGGGAACACCTTACTAGCGATTTTAAAAGTTAAACGACATATGTTGTTCAAGATTACACAATAGATTGTCCTCAGTTTTGAGGGGTGGTATTTCAATGTCATCTGATTCCAATGTACATCTCTCACTCCTTTTTGTAAAAAATGCTTGTGCGCCAAATTCTATTCCAACAAATGAACATTAACCCGGAAACAACGCACTAACTTTCAAACAAATTACTTAATACACGAGTGTTTCTTAATGTTTTTATTTTGTTGAAACAACAATCAATAAATATATTCCACTACTACTCCAGTACTATTAAATTTGGCCAATATGGGATAATGTGAGCCACAAAATATGAAAGTGGAAAAACACTACTCACGTGCAATTTAACTGAAATTCAATTTGTTTACAATTAAGCGTCCAATCGTCTCCGTCAATCGTCAATTATATTATTTCAGTAGTACTAGCGTTCCCCTGGGAGAACACTTGCATGTTAATTTCCACCCTTTCGCTATCCATTTCCCAATCCCTTCCATTAAGGAGGATTTGTTAATGAAACGTGTTTATTTGTTAAAAATATCTAAATGTAACTTCGTACTTACAAAATGACAAACAAAAAGAAAAACAACGCAATTGATGCAGGAAACAAATTTTCAATA